TGATCAAGACCGGCACAAACTTTCAAAACTTGGCTCTCTAGGCTCATTTCATCAAAACTCTTTTTACAAACTCAAAAATGTTTTTCATAAGTTTTAATCTACCCAAAAACACTTGGAGTTCGCCCAGACCAAAAACCAAGCCATCCGGCGTTCGGTTTCCAAAAACCGGCGTTCGCCTCTTGGTTTTCGGCATTGGTTTTTGGCGTCCGAACCAACCAAGTGGTTCTCAACTTTTTATGACTGGTTTTTACTACTGGGCACATTTAATTAGTTCTCCAACAAAAACGCCTCAAAAAACCACCTTCCGTTTTTGGTCGTTTAGTGAAAACCATGCGAAACGGCGCGAACTTGGCTAGCCGTGGTTTTCAACTAAATGACGTGGTTTTTAAGATGTTTTACTTGTTTTCTTAGCAAAATGCAATAAACAAATGTTTTCTAAACTTGGTTTTTATTTTGGAGAACTTGCGTTTTTGACATCGGCTAACGGCGTGACTAAACCAACCATGGGTCTGGCTAAACCAGCCCAACAGCGATGTTGAGGTAATCAACAGCACTGTCTGGCCTGGGTAGCTAAAAAAATGGTTTGGCGTTAAGTCTTCCAACAGCGATGTTGGACACTAGACATCGCTGTTGAGCCAAGGTTGGATTTCCAGAAACTTCTAGAACAGCGATGTAGGCTTCCCTACAGAGCTGTCCAACCTAAGCCAAAAATATAGTGCATTGGCAGAAAGTTTTTGGACAGCGATGTTGACCTAGCAACAGCGCTGTCAGGCCAAACTTCCATCTTCAAAGGCAATCCTAAACAGCGATGTTCTAGTATGGAACATCGATGTAGAGACCTGACCGTTGGAAGGAATTTAAGGCTAAAACTTTCCTTGTTTGGAAGTCAACAGCCAAAACAGCGATGTAGGGATTTTAGACATCGCTGTTGGCATGACCGTTGCTTCCCATTTTTCAAACCGCAAGCCTAGAATAGCGATGTCCAGGCCTAGGACAGCGCTGTCTGGGTGATTTTCAGCAGATCCAAATTTTATCAAATCCCACAAATTGTGCCAATCACCCCTTAATTACTTTGGTCCGTTGGAGCCTATTTTTCTACTATAAAATGGGGTGTTTGGGTCTGTTTTACATATCACATTACTTCACAACTCCTACTCTTTCATTGCAAATCATTCTTCAATTATTCATAGCTTTTGAGAGTCATTTTTTGAAGCTTGTGTTGTGTTCTTGAGCGTTCTTAGTTTACTCATTATCCACTCTAAAAGAGAGTATTGTTCTTGAGTGTTTTTAGTGTTCTTAGACACTTGACAAGAGAAGATATTTCTCTTGTTGTTCGAAGGAAGGGCTGTTTCCTTCGAAGGTTCGTTGAGGTTCGTGTGACTCGAATTCTCAAGTTGTACGGGTTTGTTAAGCACCGTTAAGCTTAACGAGATAGTAGTGTAGCTCGAGAGAGTCTCTCGGGTGGCTGGATTAGCCAAGAGTTGTGGTGAACCAGGGTAAAATCGGTGTGCCTCTTTACTTCTCGTTTATTCATTTTTTATTCCTGCGATTTCTTGATCAAACGCTATTCACCCCCCCTCTAGCGTTGGTCTTTTATTCTAACAATATATATATATATATATATATATATATATATATATATATATATATATATATATATGGGATTGACTCCAGTGAGATGACATGCTTCGGTCAGATGACACAAAGCTCACCACTGGTCACTGCAAAGCTCACCAAAGACAACTATAAAGCTCACCAAAGTGTAAGGCAAAGCTCACCATATTTTTTCAACACTTTGAATTTTTTTCCCAAAAAAAAATCAAAGGAAAGGGTGCTGACTGGACTTTGACTGCATTGACCGCCAGCATTGACCGCCGCCTGCCACCGGCCGCCGCCGCCGGTCGCCGGAATCCGGTCACCGCCGCCGCCGTCCGCCGTCCGCCGGACGCCGTCGCCGGTCGCCGGAAACCGGTCACCGCCGTCCGCCGGCCGCCGTCCGCCGCCGCCGGTCGCCAGTCTCCGTCGCCGGAATCCGGTCACAGCCGCCGCCGGTCGCCGGACTCCGGCCGCCACTGTTGCTCCGCCGCCCTTGACCCGTGGTTGACCGGTGTTGTTATTTTATTTTTAATTAATTTTTTAATTTTTAAAATTTAAAAAAAAAGTGAGTTTTGGGGTTCAAAGTGGTGAGCTTTGCTTTATTTCCAAGTGAGCTTTGCATTGTCCATTGGTGAGCTTTGTAGTGTAGTGTGGTGAGTTTTGCTTTATTAGCTTTTTTTTTAAAAAAAAAAGTGGTGAGCTTTGCATTGTTCCTTGGTGAGCTTTCCATTGACAGTTGGTGAGCTTTGCATTGATAGTTGGTGAGCTTTACACTTTGACCGCCCATGACCAATGGCCACCACCGATGACCCCCACTGTTTTCGTGGACCGGTGGTTGAGCGGTGGTTGAGTGGTGGTTGAGTGGCGGTGTTATTTTTTTAACTTTTTTTATTTAAAAAAAGTGGTGAGCTTTGCATTGACAGTTGGTGAGCTTTGCATTGGTAGTTGGTGAGCTTTGCATTGGCAGTTGGTGAGCTTTCCATTGCCAGTGTTGTGTGTTGTGTCATCTCATTGAAACATGTCATCTTACCATAAGGTGTCATCTCACTGGAGTCAATCCCTATATATATATATATATATATATATATATATAATAAGAAAGTTTTATTAAAAAGGAAGTGCAAAGTACAAAGTGGGGTGGCCAACCCGACAATAGGCCAAAAGGAGATCCAAACCAAGAAAAGGAAAACAAGAAAAAGCTGCCAAGTAACTAAACAGAAAAGGAGAAGTTGACAAAAAGCTTAAAATAAAAGAGAGGAGCTGGATTTAAAATCGTCCTAGGCAGAAACCCATCCAGCTGTATCCATTTCATCAACCCAACTGCATTGAACCTCCTGTAGTTCTTTTACCCAAAGATCACAACCAAAATTAATGTCCATTCTCCATCCTTTCCAGCCTATCAAGGATAAAAGTACAAAAGTTTGAAAACAAAGCTGTCTATGTAGGACCCTGCTAGTACAAATGATAAACTATGCTGCTCCAACCCTGAAGCTCAGTCTCTATACCAGAAACCTTAGGCACACTCTAAACAGAAGGCCTAATATTCAATTTAAAACCCTGAAAAACCATTTTTCCAAACCCCTGGAATGTGCAAGAGTTACCCATCTTCATATGGCCCTTGAGCTATTAAGACAGCAAACATAAAACAAAACTAATTCAAATACCAAGGACTTCTTTTTTTCCTGAATGCAATGAAAGGATTTAACCAATTGTAGTTTGTGACTCTTCAGCCTTAATTAGGAACTCCCCTTATTAGAGAAACTAAACCAAGATTATTGTGAGTCACCTCTGTTATGTGCCATTACAGTATCAGCATCATAGCTTGCATAGGCCAAAAAGATTGGATATTTTGTGCCCTTGATGTGAACTAAATCCACATTTTCCATGCTCTTCACTATCTCTCTTGTAATCCTATACGCTGCCCCTGTTTCATCCTGAAGGAGACCCTTCTGTAGTAGCTCCAAAAGACCTTTTTGTGCAAGCTTTTCGCGAATATATTCCTCAGTTTCTCTAAAAACCGCCTCAAAGTAGCTCTGAAAGATTGGGGCGAATAGCTTGTCCGCCTTAATGGCCTCCCTGGGTAATTCTTCTTCTTCGGCATCCCCTTAGGAGAATTTTGGGAGTTAGTCATGGCAGCCCTTGCTATATCTATCCCCAGAAGCCCTGAGGAGATTGAGACAGTTTTCGCTATCTTTTCCTCCTCGAACCTATCTATGAGTTGTTCTTCCCGTCTATCTGGTTCCCTCTGAATTTCCTCTTGCTCAATCCTGCCAGATAATACCTCGTCCAATTCCTTATCATTGAGGAAACTTTCAAAGAATTTAAGGTCTTTATGAAACAGTTGAATGCCTTTGTTCCCCAAACCCGCTGGTATAAAAATCTGAGAGTGAGAACCCTCTTTAGACTATGATAACCGAATAAACTCGCCAAAAGTGTTGGAGTCCCAAAGAACATTTAAAGAGGAATCCCCCTCATACCAGGTTAATGACCAGCCCTGTCTGCTTCCCAGATTATCAATTAACCATTTACCAGCAGATTTAGAGGCAGAGATGGTCTGAGATATACCTCTTTTTGTTTCTGAAATTTGGAGAAGCCCTGCGGAAGAACTGAAATTGAAAGCCTTACTTTCTATGAGAGCTGAGACCTTACCTTGCCCATCAAGATTTGGTCCGTAGTATCGCAGGTTTGAGGCTTCAATTCGATTTGGATCCCATTTTTCGCCGTTCCTGAATCTCCTTGGGCTAGCCGCTGCCCATCTTTTTGACCATGGTTTAGATTCGCCGCCGTGGAAAGACGAGAAGTAGGGAATCCTTCTTGGGGAGTAGTTCCACCGTCGATCTGCATATAGATTCCTTCGGAAATTTGAACCCCTACCTTCGTAATTCCACCGGACAGTGGGGGCGTAATTCCGCCGCCGGGATCCCCTTTCCCTCTGTAGAATCCCCATCTATATATATATATATATATATATATATATATATATATATATATATATATATATATATATATATAATATGGAGGGATGTCTTTAGGGTTTTTAGGGAGAAGGGAGACCGTAGTAGAGCGGCGATTCGCTGCAACTGACCACGCCGCCGGATGGAGATGGCATCAACAGCGTCACCGATGGAGCAAGAAATGGATTCAAACCTACAATCAAGTCCCAAGATGGAAAGATTCAGTAATCAATCATCAATCGTGGGGGAGAGACAGGGAGAGGGCTCACGATTCCAGGTACTACCGGAAAACCTACAGAGGACCAGAGACTAGAAAATCAGGTGTGTTTCTGATCTCAATTGAAAGTAAGGAATTCATATTTGAATCGGCAGAATCCATCTTAATTTCTGAGAAGAAGAATGGTAAGAGCCACTGCATCTCAATTTCTAGAAATTCTGCAAAATGGTTAGCTGAAACTTTAAACCTCCCTCCTCTAGCAAGGGTAGGATGGTCTGTAACTAGGTTTGAAGGTCTTACCTCAACAAAGTTTCATTGGGATTCAAATAAATATGGGAATTTTGTCCGCCTCATGACAGAAACAGAAGGCAAGGTAGGGCATATATTTATTCCGGCTGGCCTGAATTCTGAGGGCATTTACCTTTTTGTCAAAGCTATCAATGATGCTGTAAACTTTAAAGGGGAGATGCAAATGAAGTCTCCAGCAAATGACCTAGAATACGAGGGACCAAATAAGGGCACAAAACCCAAAGAGGGAGAGGAAAATTCAAGAATGACAAAGTGGGGTGATGAAGCTGAAGAAGAAGAGAGGGTTGCAACGAAGCCTTCTATCTCCTCAGAGCTGCTTGAACTTGATATTGGGTTGGCAACAAGGATAGTTGACAGATCAGAACAGGGTCAGAACTTTAATTCAGAAATGAAAGAAGAGGTCAGTGAGGAGGATTTAGATACTGAAAAACTTTTCCAACCAGTTTTTGAGGCATACTTTGATGCACTCTTTAAAGCAGCAGTGAATCAATTGAAAGAGGCATTAGCAAAGAAAGAGCTATTGGAAAATCTCAAAAAGGGTTTACTTCAAAACCGACAAGGAAAAGCTTCGAGGGCTACTAGGGAAACTGTTAGAAGCATGGAGATTGTTAACTTAGTTAACATCGAGGGAGCTAAATATCCTGTCTTCTTATCCTGTTCTAATGAAGATAAAGATATTGTTCTTGAATTTCTCTCAGGTGAGCCTGAAGATGAATAATGGAACTGCTTTTATTTTAGGGTGGATAGTGTCAGGGGTCTAACTCTGGGCAGGGAATGGTTATTTCACTATGAGATTCAGACTTCTCTTGTTAAGCTTTCATGGTATCATGTGGGTGTTTGGCATTTGGTTCTATTCTATTATTTGGACAGTAAGGAGGGTTGATTAAATGGAATTTTTATACTCTATATGGCAGCGGCATAGCGGGGCTACACCCAGTTCTGCCTACTCAGTATTTGAATATATTGAGGCTTAATGTGAAGGTTTAATTACAAAATTCCATGGGAAGAGTGTGCGTGGTTTTTCAGAACTGAAAGAAGCCAGTAAAAGAAGATCTCTTAAGGATTGACTGGTCGTAATACTCATTTGGGATATGGAGGTAGGGGTGACCCATGGCACGGTTGCATTGGGACTGTCTCTTCGTGATTTTAGTTCTAGTTTTGGTTTCTTATCATTACATTTTGTTATCTGTCTTGGGCTAGAATTGTTGGCTTGGGTTTATATTGTAGTTTGTCACTGCAAATATATATATATATATATATATATATATATATATATATATATACACGAAAATGCGCCGCATCCATCACTCTAGGGTTCCATCCCGGCGGTGACGCCATGGCGTCGGCGACTACCAAAACTGCTCCAATCTACTCCAGCGATCGTCCCTCTAATGGCTTCACGCTATTTTTCTGATTTGTTGGTCTCTGGTGTCAAGAACCCGTCGAGATTCAAAGGACTCCCGTGCGTTTCCTTCGACGAAACCGAGGTGCGCAATTTATGTCAACAGTTCAAAAGAACCCTAGTTGGTTCCTTTTGCTCTGGATGGCCATCGATGACCTTGGTTAGGACATCTTTTGAACGAATTGGTTTTTCTTCCACTCCTAAGGTATCTCTCCTTGACTCTTCTCATATTCTCATTTCCTTCTCGGAGGAGAAGGACTTTCTCCGATGTCTTCTCCGGAGGACCTGGCGCATCTCTGGTTACAAAATGAATGTGTGTCGATGGACCTGTGATTTCGACCCTTCTATCGATTCACCTCTTGCTCCTGTCTGGATAGGTCTAGAGGGTCTCCCTCTTCACCTTTTTGAACCCAATGCCCTTTTTTCTATAGCTAACCTGGTGGGTCTCCCCCTCCAAATGGATTCTGCCACAGTGGACCTTACAAGACCCTCCGTGGCAAGGGTGTGTGTCGAATTGGACCTGACTAAAGATATGCCTAAAGCTGTTTGGATTCACCTTGGTCAATTATCCTTCCTCCAGCCTATTACATACGAAGATTTGCCTGAGTATTGTATTTCTTGCCGGGCTATAGGCCATAAAAAGTGCAAAACTCATAGGAAATCTTCTAGATGGTTTAGGAGGGAGGGTAAGCTGTCTAGCAGAAGCTTGAATGATTCTATAAAAGTTTTGGTTCCTGAATCTAGCGAATTGGGTGCTAATTCTGTTATTGCCCATAATGCTCCTAATCATGCTGTTGATATTTCTGCTGCTCCGAGTTTTGCTGATGCTACTTTTGCTATTCCTAACTCTTCAACTAAGACTCCTGTCTCTACTGATGCTTTACTTGAAGGTCCTTTTCCTCTTGTACAAACCTGCAGTGATGAAAATGAGCAGGCTAAGGATCCTACCATCCTAATTGGAAAAATACAATGCACCAAGGATGCTTCACTACCTGTTCCTATTGTTGCTGAAAATCTATTGGGAAAGGATGTTTCAATTCCAACTGATCCCCTACTGCCTGGTCCTGTGGTTGCTGAAAGTTTCCTGGGAAAAGATGTTGCAAGTCCAACTGATCCCGCGCCACCCCTAACTGTTTTTGAGGAAAGCACTGTACTCCACAGCCCCCCCTTCGTCCCTTTACCTGAAGTTGTCCACACACCCGTCCCCTTAATTGCAGATTCAAATGTCCCTGATGCTTGTGATGCACACAGTACACTCCGAAAGGATAGACTGGATGGCTCACATGACAATTCAGTTTGTGGGGATGATGAAATTATTTCTGACCCACATTCCCACTCAAAACCGTTTTGTATTGTTAACTGACCCGATGATTATTGAGATTTCTGAACAGGTCACCCCTAACTCCACCCCGCTCAAAAGCATACCTACAAAAGAGGCAGCTCACCATGAAATGTCAAGAATGACAACAAGAAGATCAAGACCACCCATAATTGAAGGCATCATTGTCGACCGTGTGGGAGAACCAAAACTAGAATGCGAGGGATACAACGGACCATTTCTCTTCCTAGGCCCTCCAGGATCACCGAGGGAAGATGGAAAAAGGCCACGAACAGCAATACCTACCAAAATCTCGCCTCATACCATGGTGAATGTGTGGATTTAATATTGGGCTGCGTCCCTTGTTACTTTGTATCATTTCTCTTTCATTGCTCTACCACTTTTGGGTAGACTCACCGATTTCCTTTTTGGAGCGTTTGCTCCATCTTGTATGTCTTACTTTCTCTTTAATAAAAACTTGTTTCTTCAATATATATATATATATATATATATATATATATATATATACTGGCATTTCTCCACGCGATGCGTGGTTTATAGTGCCCGATATTATGTTTTAATAAATTAGTAATATGATTTTCCTGGTAAAAGAAATTTTGGTTGAGTATTGGAGAAAGGATAGTGTAACAAATATACAGACTAAAAGAGAGAAAAGAGTTGATTTTAAAATAATGAAATGCATATATATTAATGATTAGTGGTAATTGCAAAGTGAAAAGAAATTAGTACTTGTGCATATTATGTGTACACAAGATGTAGCGAACAAAATTAAAAATTGTTGGAAGAAGAGCGTCGGGCGATGAGCTAATCTGATGATATCCTTGCCGCCGTGATCCTGAATCAGAATGAAACGCATAATCTTGGAAGCATTTTGTGGGTTGAAGCTTTGAATTTTTGATAGGAGTTTGTTGCCAGCCTCGAGAGTATCCAATGTTAGTAACTATCTTCTGCGGTGCACAATGCTAGTAACTATCTCATTTATTGCTCTATCCATAGAGATAGGAAGTACACTGAAGCAACAAAAAAAGAAAGACAATAACAGAAATAGCTAAAAAGATGAACAAAGTTGTCTCATGAACGCCTTATCACTACGCCAAAAACAGAATCAGAAGACTCTTGATTAACAACTGTTTATGTAAACACAGTAGTAGAAAAAAAACAGACTACTGTGAGTTTTTCTTGGCTACAGAACAGTAGTCTAGCTACTATGCTTTAAAACTATTTTTAAAGTTTCGAGAAACGGTAATCTATCATTAGTTGTCTGTGTCAATTCAAAATACAGTTTTTGTTACAACAGTTGTTAATAACAAGTTAAGAATACACTATTTAAACAGTAGTCTAGTTTTTCTAGTCTAAAACTGTTTTTAAACTTATTAGAAACAGTTATCTATTGTTAGTTGTCTGTTTCATATGGTTTTTTTGTCACAGTTTTTTATAATAGGAATAGAAGACTATGTTGTAACAGTAGTCTATGAATTAAGGATAGAACTGTTTTTAAAGTTGTGAGAAACGGTAATCTATTATTAGTAGTCTGTTTCTTCTAAAAATACAATTTTGTTGCCACAGTTGTCAATAATTAGTTAAGACTACTATTTCTAAACAGTAGTAAGTTTTTTAGTTTATAACTGTTTTTAAACTTATAAGAAATAGTAATTTATTGTTAGTTGTATGTTTCATATAGTTTTTTTGCACAGTTGTTTATTATTAGAATGAAAGACTCCCTTGTAACAGTGGTATATTTATATAGCGTAGAACTGTGTTTAAATTCATAGAAACCGTAATCTATTACAAGTTGTCTATAATTAATTAAGAATACCTTTTTTAAACTGTAGTTAGACAATTAAGCCTAGAACTATTTTCAAAGTTTTGAGAAACCATAATGTATTACTAGTAGTGTGTGTCACACCGTTTTTTTTCACGCTTATCTATAATAAATAAAGAAAACTATTTTTAAGAGAATTGCGTGTATTAAGCGTACAACTGTTTTTAAAGTCTTGAGAAATAGTAATCTAATACCAATTGTTTGTGAGATATGATTTTTTTGACAGAGTTCTTTATAATAAGTTAAGAATACTCGTTTTAAACAGTAGTCTAGCTCTTAAGCCTAGAATTATTTTAAAAGTTCAGAGAAATGGTAATCTTTTTTACAATGAAAATGTATACACTCTCTAACTTTACTTTCATACTTGCAAAATTTATCCAACAATCAAATAACTGTTGTTTTAAACAATTATATGGACATGAAAAAATAAACACTTCCATTCAAACGGAAGAAAAAGTACATAGACAGGCTGGGTACTCTCCCTCTACACACAAAGGGAATTGGTAACCCATACAACTTTGGCTTTAGCACCAAGATCCAAAAACTCCTGTATGATCCTTTCCATCTTCATCAATTCTTCTAAGGACATCAGCTGCAGCACTAAACAACTGGACAAAATCCAATCTGTTATGTCAAAACGCAGCCACTATTGGGTACATTTGGAAGCCAAACAAACGATACTTTGGTATTTTCTAAATAAGTAATTATACCTGTTGGTTGTATGAACAGCCATCTTTAGTGATTGCAGTGGGGAAGATATTCTTTGTATCTCCTTTAGCCAAATGCACGTATATTTTGACAATCTTCAAAACCCACAATTATTTTATGAGTTTTTTGTCAAACATTCACATGGAGTATTTCTTTTATTTTTTGAACACTAATAAATCTAATACAATGTAGTCTATGTTCATACATTCTCAACCTATTAAAACACATAGAGTTACTGCCCTCACGGGGGTTCCACCTGTGACCTCCCAATTGGGAGAGTCACCTTGATGTTGCTAGACAAACAAGGTTGAACAAAACAATTATTTGATTAAGTTTAGAAACTCTTTAGATATACAATACATAAAATTTCAGCTACTTATATGCATACCTACTTTAACAACTCTTTTGGACGAAATTCATACTTTTCGAGGTCTTTCAATCTGAGAGATTTTCTCTGTGGGCCCACTAGTTGTAACAGAAAATAATTCAACATGCTGGCAACTCTCTCCACCTGAAACGAAAACCAAGCAAGATGGCTTGATAATGAATCACGATCAACTCTGCTAACTTTGACAAGAAATTAGAAAGCAAAATATACCATCTCAGGAAGTAGAAATGGGGCTGTAATCTGTTCCGTAGTAAAAGCCAGCAAGCTCACATCTTCATTTTCCAGCTTTAGAAAGCAAAATATACCATCTTCTCTTCATCTTTAGCAATCTGGAACAGCAACTAATCCAAACTGATGGGGATTAAGGTGATAATGATAATAGAGCTCATGTTCACAAAATGGAAGACAATGAAGTGAAGAACTGAATATCACTAATAATCCCTTCATTTCCGAATACTTTTCTCACCTTCCTTCATTCCTTGGCACAAAGTTAAAGAGTGAGTTTAGGCAGGTCTAGGTCCTCTTTCAAGTGTGTAATAAAAACAAGAAAATGTAAGGTGGGTTGGTAAGGAATTGGAAAAAAAATTGGATGAATGGAGTATTCTAATAAGTATGCTTTTTCCAAAATACTTAGTATGAAATAAGAACACCAGTTTGGAATAACTGAAAGTTGAAACTGTAAACACTATCATGGAACAAAGAGAGTTATACTTAACTGGAATGTTGGCCTTGACGTCCCAGACTCAAATATATCGTAATCATAAAAACCAACAACAATAAGCTAAAGCCAAAGAAGACAGCACAAGACCCTAGCCTATGGTATTAACATGTACCAAACACCATCGAGTTTTGGTGTTGATGCTGATACATTAAGAACACTTAAACACATAGAAAAGGGATCAACCACCCTTTGAAACTCATTAATTATAATACATCAACACATTTATGGAGAGAAACTTAATCAAATCCAAGAATGAAACAAGAGAAAGTTAGAAATCATAAAATCTCAAAATAAGTGTTGAAACTCACACTCATGGAAAGAAAAACAAAGATTTGGGAAAGAAAAACTAAGGTAGAAATCCACCGTTATTGACGTCACGAACGACTTTGCAGCCGTCGACGTTCGTGGTCTTCTTTGATATCGCTAGTGATCTTGCTCGCGGCACCTGGGATCGAAAAAAATATGAAGAGATACGAAACTGGATAAAGATGCGGCAATTGCTTTGAGATTGTAAATGGATTTAGTGAGTGCAAGTTTTCAAAGAGGAAAAAAGAAATTAGGAAGAGGGAAAATGAAATTAGGGAGAGGGAGAATGAAATTGGGAAGAGGGAAAATGAATTTAGGAGAAGGAAAATGAAATGGAGGAAAATGAAATTTTTAGAGTTTAGTGGTCTTTGTATGTGGTTATAATAAACTGATCAAAATTGTTTTTAAACTATTTTTAATTTATAAGCTGTATTCGAGTGATATTTTAAGAGTCTATTCTTTTTGTTGGAAAAATTAACTTTTCATTTTTTCTATGTCCTTCTAGATCTTATCTTATCTGATCTTGTCTGATCTAATAGGATGAGATCTAGTCGGATCTGATATGATCTGATTGAAATTATATGTAAAATTGTTTTTTATCAGATCCAAACTAGTTTTTATTAGAATAAGATACTGGTGAACAACGTGTATACGTGTTCAAATTGAATTTCTTGAGTAACGTAGATAGATACTTGTGAACTAACACAACTGAATGACTTGGGATACAATAAGTCAAATTGAATTTCTTGAGTAACGTAGATATTATCTTATATTATCTAATTAGATCTCATCTTGACTGGTCTAATTGGAATTGATCTAATCTGCTTGATCTAATTGTAGTTATATTTAAAAATCTTTTAATTTGATTTGATCTAATCTTATTTGATGAGATATGATTAGATTAGATATCATCTAAAAAATGTATAAACATGTTAGACAGAGATGCAGTGGGTCGCATGAAATGTACAAGCAATCAGACATGATTGGATTTAATTTGATCTTATGTTATCTAATTACATCTAACTTGACTGATCTAATTAGAATAGATCTAATCTGCTTGATCTAATTGTAGTTATATTTAAAACTCTTTCTAATTTGATATTGTCTAATTTGATTTAATGAGATCTGATTTGATTACATATCATCTAAACAACATATAAACATGTCAAATTGAGATGCAGCGGGTCGCATGAAATATACAAGCAACCAGACATGATTGGATTTGATTTGATCTTATCTTATCTAATTAGACTTAACTTGACTGATCTAATTGGAATATATCTAATTTGCTTGATCTATTTGTAGCTATATTTAAAACTCTTTCTAATTTAATATTGTCTAATATGATTTGATGAGATCTAATTTGATTATATATCATTTAAACAACATTTAAACATGTTAAACTAAGATGATGTGATCTGATTTGGTATAATCTTATCTGTCTGTGTTTTTTTTGAAATACAATAAGTCGGAGAATATGAACGATGGTGTCTTTTTAAAAAATTGAGACGAAGAGTATAAAAAATCAATTTTAAAAATTATAATTGAGATGAGAATATATTAAAACGTTTATTTTTTTAAAATTAATTAATGTTAAATTTTTTGAGTAATTTGTTTAAACTGAAATCTAATAATTTAACTTAAAATTGAGGGAATACATATATTTTTTAAATGAATTGAAATATATCATTTTTAAAAATTTGAAAAACTTAGTTTAAAATTTTGAAATGAAAAAAAGTTTAGAAAAAAAATTCAAACTAGATCATTTTTTTAAAAATACTATTTTTTAAATTGATACCTAAGAATTTAAACAAAAATTGAGGAACCTAGTTTTTTTTTAAAATTTGGCCAAAAGATATGTATCCCTTTTTTTCTGCCTCTAATTTCACTTTGGATAACGTATGTAAAATTGGAGGGATTAGATTTTTTTTGAGTGAAAATTTGGTCAAAATTATGAAAACCTACTAGTCCCCCCTCCAATTTCACCCATTCCCTTCGTGAAACCCTCCTAGTCCTGCATCCAATCTCATTCCTTCTCTTCTTCATTCAGAAACCGGGCATAGATTTCGAGAGAGGAGAGCGCGGGCATCCTTCCAACCTGCATCACACGTCCAAGGGGTTCCTCTCCCAACCTCGGTACTCTAGTGACGAGGAGGAAGTACCTCATGGATTTGTGGATCTTGAGCGGCTCCTTCAGCAAGATTGCGCCTTCCAAGGCCTTCTTCACCGACGTCGCCTTCTCCATGACATCTGTTTGGTCTTTAGTGTGAGTGGCAGAGCAAGATTGAGGAACATGGTTTCTTCTGGTGGAGCTCAGAAATGGCGGCCCGGCGATGGTGGATCTACAGCAAAGAGATTGGGTCAAATGTTTTCAGACCATTTGACCATTTCAGGTTAAATGTTTTATAAAATTTCAGGCCCGGAGATGGTGGATTTCAGGTTTTCAGACCATTAATAAGTGTGAAAAGTATGCAGAGAAGTTGGAGCCACACAAAAGAGGCCTCAATCGACACCCGGACCCCAACAATCTTCCCCCGATCATCGGCATAAACTTTTTGCAGCAATCACTGACAACAGATGATACGATGATCTTTGCAGTTCCGATGGTGAGGCATAGTTGTTTTGATTGATTCTTTTTTTAATCATTTTTCTCCAAATGTGTAGTCTTCGTTTTGTTTGAATTAAGTAGGTGCAGAGCTATGAAGATTGGTACAGTCTGTGTTAAGAGAGTTTGAAGTCTGTGCAGGTAGTGAAACTTCATTGAAATAGGTAAATAAATTCAATCCGCATCCCGTCTTTGAAAGTTGTATCCGTGTTGTCGCCCCCGGCCAGGGACCCCTCCCCATTGTCGTTGCTACCTTTTACAAGACTGAAGGTTCTGGAGCTTAGAGAGTGTGATCTATCTACCTCTTCCGCCCTGAGACTTCCCGAGCTGAGACATACTTTGGAGAAATTGGTTTGCCATAATTCATCTGTAAGTTCTCCCCCCTCGATTTTACTGAAAAAATCAGGGTATAATTACTAGTCTATTACTCACCTTTTTTGAGTTTGATTTAAATATTTTAAAGAACTTGTTTTTATTTTAATTTGCAGTTTGATTTATTTTGGGTTTGTCTAAGAGTTTTGTGGGCAATTTTAGAAATGAAATTTTTTCTGTGCGGTCTTAAACATTTATTCTATTACACAGTTGTTTTGTATGCTCTTAAAAGTTAATTCTTTTACATGCATGGACCCCTGGTTGATGATTTGTCCTGTGTGCTTTGAAGAACATTGTTTGCTTTATTCTTCGATAATTGGCACTCAAATTATATGATGAAGTAAATGTGCTCATTTCACTATTTGATTGGTAATTCATTTGCTTTTAGACAAAACAGGTCCAGGTTGGTGGATGTCCTGCATATAGGATTGATAAGAAGCTTGGGAAAGGAGGATTCGGTCAAGTCTATGTTGGTCGTCGAATTAATCCTCCAAATCCAACTGAAAGAACTGGTTCAGGAGCTGTAGAGGTATGGTACTACAAATATATTGCTTCCCTAGCTAAAAATTCAAGAGATGTGGGTTTCATGTTTTTAATGTCTTAACTGCATTGTTTAGGTAGCCTTAAAATTTGAGCATAGAAGCAGCAATGGTTGTAACTATGGTCCGCCATATGAGTGGCAAGTAACGCTTGCTAGAGTTGATAATCTTCGGAAGTGCACCAAAATAAAGTTTTTGGATTCAATCTCCCGAGAAGCATATCAACATTTGGCGAGGTAAATGTCTTGGTGCTTTAGTTCATGTGGTTCAGGTACAAGGATTTTTTAAGTGTTTGTTTTATAACTTGCATACGAACTATGGCCTTGCTTTACTTCCAAATTTAGAATCTAAAGAGCACTTCAAAAAAGATATTTTTCTTACCCTTTTCTTTTTTTTTCCCACATTGATCAAGTATTTACTTTTTAGAGGTTTATTTCCATGACTAATTTTCTTCCAATTGTGTGTATTTGGAATCTTTTTTTCATATCTACAAATGAAGATGCTGATATGAGTGCTAAGTTTAGTGGATGTGCAATAGACTTATAGCTTTACCATGAGTTGTTGATGCATCTTTGAAGTGAATAACTGGCTATTAGTATTCCTAATTAGTTTGTCATTGTGCTTTATCATATCCAGTTTTCTTGTTCTGATTATATGTGAGCTCTTGCACTACACTATGTGTTATTTTGTGAGTATAATTTGTATGAAGATCACCCATTGGGATTTGGTAGAAAAATGATGATTTTTTAACATTATTTTTGTATAGGCAATTGAATGCGAGTATTGCCACAATGATATTGCTAGGCTCAACCCCAAGGATTGTTGGTATTGGTTAGAAGGGAATTGTTTTAATCTTGCAAGCTTGAGAGGCCTAGTAAAATACAAGAAGTCACTCTATAATACTCACTCCTCCACATACTCTGCATATGATAGTCACTTTGCACAAATTTTATTTTGAGGCTGTATCATTATCCAAAATGTGTTGCCTTTTTTAAACCTTTGTAATATATATGCTGCATTAAGCTGCTCCACTAATATTTAAGTAAATATTAAGTTATTAGATGATATTAATATTTTGAATATATGATTTACTTTTGTTTCGTGATTAATATTTTATATTTGAAACAAATTTTTAATTATTAAAAAAGGGTGCCTATGATTTAGAGAGACAACATAAAATAACTGTGTTCGGATAAACAATTCGACCACTGTTCAACTTGATAGTTTGAATCATATACTGACAACTACACAAACCTGTAGTGTTAATCAATGCTAGACATCTGAAACACAGTTGTTTGAAATGAAACAAAATAGTCTTCTATGTTTTATATATACCTTAAAAAACAACAGTTGTTTGATGCAAATATTTCTAGTGGTCTTTCAAGCAGTTGTTTGATAACCAATTCGATTACTATTCAAACGTATAGTTTGAATATTTCAAGGACAACTAAAGAAAATTATAGTGTTAATAATCTTTATACAACTAAAACAAACAGCTGTTTAAAATAAGACCAAAGTAGTAATCTCAATTTGTACATACAACACAAAATAACAGTTGTTTGATGATAATATTTGTAGCGGTCTTCCGAGTAGCTGTCTGATAATCAATTACACTACTGTTCAAAAATATAGTTTGAATATTTCAAGGACAACTGCAAAAAAGCGTAGTGTTATTGCGCACTATACAATTGAAAGAAACAGTTGTTTAACATACAACAAAATTAGTAGTCTATGTTTTAGAAATATAACACAAGATAACAGTTGTCTGATACTATTTTTGTTTAGTAGTCTTCCGAGCAGCAGTCTGATATATCTTTCAACTACTTTTAAAACTAGAAATCTATATTTTTGATCGACAACACCAAACAATAAGAGTCTAAAGTCGAAAACAACAGTAGTATATATTATAGATAGACAACAAAAAATCACAATTTTCTTTAACTATAGAAAACAGATGTCTTACTCATACGAGGACAACTTCAAAAACATGTACTCTGAAAGATCACAAAATAGGTGTCGTCAATCGTACTACACAATTGTTTTTAAACAGTAGTCTGTAAATATATCAGACAGCTGCTCGGAAGACTACTAAAACCAACACAGTTAGACAACTAAAAGAAACAGTTGTCAACATCTGTTTTTGACGTAGTGTATGGTGCACTAATAATTTTGCACCTTTGAATAAGCAAGTGTATACCCAATGCACGAAGTTTTGGGTTGATGATGTACTGCAGCTGAATATTAGACGAGGGAGCAGAAAGCTGCAGCAACAATTATCTTTAATTATTAAATTAATGATGTAATTAGTTTTACAGTAAAACATTTCTTTTTTTTTAAATTTGTTTACAAACACAAGTGGCAAATACCCGGCTAACAGAAAATGGTGTCTGCCTTGCAAAAGTCCCTGACAGAAGGTATTTGATTGAAATCAGTTACTAAAGCTACAAGCTTCTCTTTCTCCATAAGTGTTGGAGACGGAAGATGAAGTAAAGCAGGATACTGGATGCACCATGTGTGAAGTTTGTGGTAATAATAACTGATAACGGGAATTAATGGATAAAGAACATTTACCTGGGTTATTATGCGTGAATGACCGCTGGGATGAGATGAATTAACCTCCGTCGGTAATTCAACCTGATTAAGAGTATGTATAATTCTTGGTTTGGCATCTGTAACAACCTGGCATTGAGAAGAGTGGCCCACATCTTTAATTGAGAAATCAGGGTTTCCTTCCACTTCTCTGACGTAGGGAGGTTGGCACTACATTTTTCAAGTCCATACCAAGGTTTTTGAACAGCACCTGAAATGGGAAAATAAAATATAATATAAAAAAGAAACACAAAGAGTTAGGAGTAAGGTGATCCAAGACAGCATATATGCAGAATAAGATGAAAAGCATACATATAAATACCTCTATATGAAACTCGAGGTTCATTTTTAAGTTTGTCATTGTGTAAATCTCAGTAAGTAATCCAAGTATACCCATGGTCTAAGGATTAGGGGGTTGGTATGCTAGGCTGGTTTGACATGCTTTCAATATCTGCAGAAGGCAATGACAATTGGTATAATTCTCACCAAGTATAGTTCTAACAAGATCCATTGGTCTCCAGTTCAATGTTCGAATTGGGGAAACGGATATCAATAATTTAAAGCAATGCAGATCAATTACCTAATTATTATTGGGGAAACGGATATCAAACAAATTCTGTAGCAACCCAAGAATTAGATGTTATGCTATGTAACTATCTCCTTAAGGCTAGAAGCAAAATTCCAAATTTCCAACCCAAGAATTAGATGTTATGCTATGTTTGTTCATGTACATAAATTTTGTGTTGAATTGTTTATGTTATCATATAAACTATAATTTTTAACTACAAATGACATGAACTACCCATGGGGAGTGGCGATAGTTAGCACACATAGTGATTTATAGCAAGATGCCCAAATTCCAAAATACGAATTATAAAAAACCAGGTCAAATAGGATAACAAAAAACATGCACTCCCAAGCACCTTAACTAAACAGATGAAATTCCAAAATCAAATTATAAAGTGTAATGCTGACTCAAAAACCAGCCGCAAGCAACATAACCCAAAACATGTGATTTTAAATAAATAATTGTGTTGTTATTAAACATGGTTACGTTTAATTTGCTTCCGCATTACTGTTAAACACTCTGCATTTTGCTACAATTATGTATTAAATAATATTTATGATGAATAAAAGTATTTGAAATGTTTTAAATTTTATGATTACCAAGTCAATACTTTAGTCTGAAAGGGGCTGCAGACCTGGACGGATTAGGGTGTTACAATTTGGTATCAGAGCAAATGGTTTTAAAACCGATCTTCGGATCAAAAGTTTATTTAAAAATATATATATATATATATATATATATATATATATATAATATGTATTTTCGGCCCTTAAAAAAATGATGTCGATCAAATCCACGACTCTCGCATCCCTCTGCTCCAGGAAGGTAATAAAAAAAATTAAGTATTGAATTTGACTGTATTAAATCTTATTAGATGTCAACTGTTAATTCGGAAATGATATCAAGTGTTGATTCAAGTCGCACTTTCGTACTTGGTAAAAGACGAAAGAACAAACGAAATGTCTATGACTCGTTGATACGTTACCAACGTGCACATCGCTTCGCGAGAATAATGAAATGAAGGATTCATTTGCGCCGTAAGGCTGCATGGGAACGAGACGACCTAGAAGAGACGTTCAGCATAGACTCTGCCAACAGCGTGTGTGGATCGGGCGTAGAAGACCCATCAGTAGATTCGTCACGATCCAACCAATTGAATGCAAACGTTTAGAAATTTTCTTGTTAATCGTTTCAAATCCATTGATTGTATCGACTATTGTAATCCTTTGCAATTCCTGTCTTAAACTCAACTACTGAATAAAAGAATCCTAATAAAGGAATTTCTGTTATTGTAGAATGAGTCAAGAATCTGCCCATGGACAAGGCAACAACAATGAACATGTCAGTGTTCATACTGAAGCATCTAGTTTCACCCCTCCCATCCAAAATGAACCTATCAATCAAAAAAATGTTGGGAATAACCCGAACGCTGGTGGTCAACCCGACCTTGTGATTCCAACTTTTCTGGCTAATGTGTTACAACAAATAGCCAACGCACCAATGTTTCAACCACCTCCACCACCGCCACCTCGAGTAATAACCTACAAAACTCTAAGAGATAACGGTGCAGAATTATTCCTTGGGGATCGCATCGGTGAACCCAAAATTGCATGGGATTGGATCGAGCAGACTGCTCGAGTGTTGAAGGATCTCAACGTACCTATGGACAACTACCCTCGACTGGCTTCTCATTTGCTACGCAATGAAGCCTACGAGTGGTGGAAGAGAACCGATGAGAGTGCGGGAACCCCTAAGCCGTGGACATGGACACATTTCGATTGGGCATTCAAGCAAGAATATATTCCGAAACGTTTTAGTGAGGAAAAACGTAAGGAATTTGTTGAACTGGAACAAGGAAACATGACACTCCCTGAATACTGTCAGAAGTTCACCAAACTTGCAAAGTTTGCGCCAACCTTGGTGAGTACCCCAACCGATCGCATTGAGGAATTCAGGACGAAACTTCGACCTGACGTGAGGTCACGTGTGTCTGTCCTAACCACCGTGGACTTCGCAGAGGCCTACGAGATCATAGCCAGGGCAGATAGTGACCTGAATGCTTGCATAGAGTACCTAAAGACAAACAATGCTGGCTCAAGCACTCACCGTCCCACTAACTCTGTCTCAAAAGGAAAAAGGCCATTCCAGGAATCTAGTAGTTCACATTTCCCTAAAAATGGAAAGTCTGCACAAACCCAGTCAATGACATTCGGTAATAGGACTAAGGGGTGGAAAAATCCACAGTGCGATAAATGCGGAAGACACCACCCTGGGGAATGTTGGCTTACACAAGGGTTATGCCTCGGCTGCGGAAAACCAGGACATTTCAAAAAGGAGTGCCCTACAAATCCTGGAGAACCATTTCCATCTGCCCCCGTTGTTAGCCAGTCTGCATCAGCACGACCTGCACCAAGTCAACGGTCAACTGCGGGATCTAATCCTGCTAAAAGTCAAAACAAACAGCAAGGACGAGCTCCTGCCCGTACCTACGCAATGAAAGCATGAGCTGAGGAAAACCCTGACGCAGGGTATGTTTTCCTTATTTGATACTGTCATGCATGTGTTGATAGACCCTGGATCAACGTTGTCTTATATCTGTGTACATATGCCTGAAAAAGCTGACATAATGAAAGAACAATTAGAACCTATACTAGTGTCTAATCCGTTAGGACATAGTATGAGGTTAGATCATGTGTACCAAAATTGTCCATTGATTGTTGAAGGGCATCAGTTCTCTGCCAATCTTGTCGAATTACCGTACAAAGAATTTGACATCATCCTCGGAATGGATTGGCTCACCAAACACCAAGCAGTTATCGATTGCCGACAACGAACGATTCAACTAAAGTCTGGAGAGGGAAAATCTATTAGGGTGAAAGAGAAGCTAACACCTAAATCTACTGAATTCATCTCGTACATACACGCTAGGCGCCTCATTCGGAAAAAATGTGAAGCTTATCTGTGTAACGTACGTGACACACGAAGAGAAACTCCTGAGTTGAAAGACATACCAACAGTATGTGGTTTTCCTGACGTATTTCCTGACGAACTTCCTGGTATACCATCTTCCAGAGAAGTAGAATTTTCCATCGATCTTGTTCCTAGAACGGGACCGATATCTGCAACTCCTTATCGCATGGCTCCTGCTGAAATGAAAGAGTTGAAGGCTCAACTACAAGAACTGCTCGATAAAGGATTCATACATCCGAGTGTTTCCCCTTGGGGAGCACCCGTTTTGTTTGTCAAAAAGAAAGACGGATCGATGAGACTCTGCATCGGTTATCGTCAATTAAACAAAGTCACAATCAAAAATCGATATCCTTTACCTCGTATCGATGACTTATTTGATCAGCTTAGAGGATCTACTGTATTCTCTAAGATTGACTTACGGTCAGGATACCATCAAATCCCAGTAAAGAAAGAGGACATCCCGAAGACTGCGTTCCGTACTCGTTATGGTCATTACGAGTTTACGGTAATGCCCTTTGGTTTGACCAATGCTCCTGCAGTATTCATGGATCTCATGAATAGTGTATTCCGACCTTATCTTGATCAATTCGTGGTTGTATTCATCGATGATATTCTTGTCTATTCGAAGAATCGAGAAGATCATACAAAACATTTGGAGATAGTACTCAGTGTACTACAAGAACATAAACTGTATGCCAAACTGTCAAAGTGTGAATTCTGGCTTGATGAAGTTACGTTTTTGGGACATGTGATTTCTAAAGAAGGTGTTAAAGTGGACCCCAGTAAAATATCTGCCATCACCGAATGGAAGGTTCCAAGGAATGTTCGTGAAGTGAGAAGCTTTCTAGGATTAGCTGGATACTATCGACGATTTGTTGAAGGCTTTTCCTCGATCGCAACTCCACTTAACAAACTTCTCAGAAAGAATGTGAAATTCGAATGGACCAATGCATGTCAGCAAAGCTTTGAGAAACTAAAGAAATGTTTGACAGAAGCACCTGTACTGACACAACCGGTACCAGGTGTAGACTATACAATCTTTAGTGACGCATCTCATAATGGCTTGGGATGTGTACTTACGCAAGACGGAAAGGTCGTGGCATACGCATCAAGGCAGTTAAAACCTCACGAGTGTAACTATCCTACTCACGAACTTGAGTTAGCAGCAGTTGTATTTTCTCTGAAGATATGGCGTCATTATCTCTTTAGAGAAACGACATATATTCACACAGACCACAAAAGTCTGAAATACTTGCTAACTCAAAAGGAGTTAAACCTGAGACAAAGAAGATGGTTGGAATTGATCAAAGACTACGACTGTTACATCGACTATCACCCTGGCAAGGCTAACGTAGTTGCTGACGCATTGAGCCGAAAGATGATAGCCGAACTCCGAATTCAGCCTACTCTTGAGAACGAAATTCACGTTGCACAAAAACGTGATGACTACTGTTTGAAGACTTGTGAACTTGTCTCTAAGGGGGAGAGACAAGATCTCACTGTAAATGATGGAATTTTATTCTACCGCAATCGTTTAGTAGTTCCTAGTGGCGAAGTGAGGGAACGATTAATGCGTGAATCTCACGAAACCACATATACCATGCATCCTGGCAGTAATAAAATGTTCCAAGATTTAAGAAAGACATACTGGTGGCCCACAATGAAGCGGGAAATTTCTGAATTCACTACGCGATGTTTGACATGTCAACAAGTCAAGGCTGAACACCAAGTGCCAAGTGGATTGTTACATCCACCTACTATCCCTGAATGGAAGTGGGAACGAATTACGATGGACTTCGTGATCGGACTTCCATTATCAACCAAGAAGAATGATGCTGTCTGGGTAATCGTTGACTGATTAACAAAGTCATCTCATTTTATCCCAATTCGACGTGATATGTCTTTGAAGAAATTGGCAGAATTGTACATCCGTGAAATCGTAAGATTACATGGTGTACCTTTGTCTATCATTTCTGATCGTGACCCGCGATTCACGTCACAATTCTGGAAGAGTTTGCAGAAGGCTCTAGGTACTAAACTCAACTTTAGTACGGCATTTCATCCTCAAACAGACGGACAATCTGAAAGGACAATTCAAATTCTTGAAGATATGATGAGAGCATGTGTAATTGATTTTGGAAGAAACTGGGAACAATACATACCGCTAATGGAGTTCGCTTATAACAACAGTTATCAAGCGAGTATCCAAATGGCCCCGTACGAAGCCTTGTATGGGAGGCGTTGTAGAACCCCAGTATGCTGGACAGAATTAAGCGAGCAAAGACTTGAAGGACCTGATCTCGTCCGCGAAACTGAAGAAAAGGTTCGTCTAATCAGAGAAAGACTGCAAGTGGCTTCCTATCGTCAAAAATCGTATGCTGACTTGAAACATCGTGAGATCGAATACAATGTTGATGACAAAGTGTTTCTGAAAGTCTCACCGTGGAAGAAGGTGTTACGGTTCGGTAAGAAGGGAAAACTAAGTCCGAGATATATTGGGCCCTATCGAATCACTGAACGTGTGGGTCCAGTAGCATATCGGTTAGAACTCCCACCAGAACTAGACAAGATCCATGACGTATTCCATGTATCGATGTTGAAAAAATCCCTATACAAGGAAAACTACCAAAATAATATATACACAAATATCTCCAAATATTCTCCGAATATTGTTTTTCCTTTAACACCTTGGCATAAGAATCTACCGTGATAGGTCAAGAAAGTTGATAGGTCTATGTCAAAGTAGATATATAGATAAGGTACTTGATCGATTTAGCATGTCTAACTCGAAAAAGGGATCCTTACCTATGTTACCTAGCACGGCTCTTTCCAAAAGCATGAGTCCTTCTACTCCCGAGTAGAAGGAACTCATGATGAAGGTCCCATATGCTTCTGCAATTGGTTCCATCATGTATGCCATGATATGTATTGGACCTGATGTCTCATTCGCTTTAAGCGTGACCACCAGATACCGGGGGAACCCAGGTGAAGCACACTGGACTGTGGTCAAGAACATCCTCAAGTATATTCGGAATACTAAGGATGCATTCCTGGTATATGCTCTATAAAGTGTCCTTAATGCGACTATTGGTATAACGATCCTTAGACTTGAAGTATTACGTTCTTCTAATGCATGAACCCATATGCTTTGATTCATTTTCCTAAGCCGTACGAAATAAGGATGGTACACAGGCTTTGTATTGGGGATGCCGCTGCACGTATTCGAAGACGTAGATTACGTATGAAGAATTTGTCACTACTACTTTAGCAGGATAATGTCTTGTAGGGGCCCACTGATAAGTATGACTAAAGAAATGCATGGCCATGCTGAGATGAGTTTAGACATCTGTTCTCATGTTAATCAGTAAATAACTTAATGGCTACAAGTTGACTATTTTATATCCCTTGCACTAAGTTAAGACATAGGGACAAAAGGATCTACGTTATACAAAGTCTAAGTCGTAGAAAGGTTTTGACAAAGCAAACATGTGAACTTATAATCTAGGGGTAATAATGTGTGCTAGATACCTCTTATTACTTAAAGTATTGGTGTAGAGTCAATATTGTAGCCAGCTTTATAAGTGCATATATGGGTCACACATTTCGGACAATTTAAAGAGAAGGATTTTAAGAACGGATAATATTTAATTTGTATATTGTAAAATAGTAAAGTAAAATGTTTAATATATATATATATATATATATATATATATATATATATATATTACATTATATATTATATTGTGTACATTTTATTTTGGAGTGTCATTTTAATTATGAAAATAATTATTTTGACAAAAACTATTTTAAAGTATACTCTATATACTTGTTTTAAAATGTTTTGGGTATTTTTTTATATCATAAAAATTATTGATGTAAAATAAAATACACTTTAAACATTTGAAAGGAGAGGAATTTTAAATTCTTCCCCCTTTAATTTCGAAATGTACATGCATGATATAATGTGTGGGGACTTTTGTCTCCCACTACAATATGTGTACTTTTGGAATTTAGCAAATGTAAATGCATTCCCTTTGATTTATAAAATGTTTTTCTTTCTCCTTTTGGTGAAGTACTCTCGGCCAAGAGAAGTGAGGGAGGAGGAGATTTTTGAGTTCTCAAAATCATCATTTTGTGTGTAGAAAATTGATATAATATTTTCTTTAAAATATTATTGATATATTTTCTATTATTTAATATACAAGATTAATATTATCCCTCTAAAATCTGTATATTTAATATACTATTTTAACACTTGCTAGCACAAGTGTTAGGGTAGACTCCGGAGATTGTTCGTGCGTCAAAGTTGGAGGCCGGACGCTTGAACGGCTACATTTGCTCATTCAACGCCTTCCGTCGATTCAACCTCACTACCGCTCACCAGAGAAGGTATAAGTTTCTATCTCTAGTTATTGATTTAGTACGTGTTCTTGGGCTAGTAATCACTATTGGGAGCTTAAATTTTGTATTTTCTGCTGCCCTCCTAACCGTGGTTACCTTTTAGAGAAGCAGGAGATCTTTCGGTAATTGTGGGGGTTAACGGCATAGTAGAGCATCTTGATGGCCTTCGCGTAGTTTTCAACTTTCTTGATGTCTTCGAAATCGAACTCATCTTCGGTTTTTG